CACTCCCCCCCCCACTCTGATTATGTCCAGCATCTGTGCACCACTTTTCAAAGTTCTCCCTCGGTAATCTTTGGGAATAGTTGATGAAAGTAAAAATCACTCAAGATAGTAATATTGTGCTCCCAAGATTCATCTCGTTCAATCTTGATAACTACACTATCCTTTGTGGTCCATACAACAAAGTAGCAGAATTTGCGCTTTGTCAGGAACATCTGGCCTTGACACTGATGCCAGTAAACATGTGTGGTAGACAGCGTATAATTCCCTTCCTTCTCCTCCAAGTAAAAGTCTTTGTGCCCACAAGCTTCCTTGATTGTCGCATTTCGATGTGTGTAGGGGCACTTACACTCAATCACCGAGTCGTCTCCCACAAGTCCATCAGGGGAAGCACCCAGAACTCCCGACTCGTGTAGCCAAAGGCCGGTCTGTACAGGTGTAAAGTTTGTGATGTTGGTGAAGGATTTCAGGGCCTCAGTCTCATTGTCCTGTCCCCATGCAATTGCTTTAACTCCACTCAAGTTGTATTCCCCAAGTAGTCGCTTGATAAGAGACGGTGTAACTCTTTTTGCCTGGAGGACGGAGCCAAAATTACTGGCAGTCAGGCGGCCTCTACGAGCTTGGTGCCATGCAGGGCTGTTTCGCTGGCCAGCCGTGAGGGTGCTCACAACATTTATGGTTCTCTCCTCTACTTTGGCATTCTCAATCAAGTACTCTAATTGTTTTTCCTTCGTAGATGCCATAAGGAAACCTTCTGAGTAAATGATATCCTCAATCGTCTTGATCGGGAGAGGGGTAGCAGGTTGTGGTTCGGGACTCAAGATCCAGCAGGTCCCTGTAAATTTGCCATAGCGCTTTAGTTCGCTGTACAGCCACATCCGATCTTCTCGGCTAGGATCGCGCGCCAAAGGGCTGTAATCCTTCTTCTTCGGTGGCGCTGGAAACATCTGGCTTGCAGACTGTACGCTTTCTGCCTTTCGCTTTCGTTTCCATTGGCATTCCAGGTCCGTCCTGCTAAGGTTATGGATGCCATAAATAAATATGGCTGCCGCGTGACTGCACTTGAACTCGCCGCGAGGACACTCGCATTCTGTGTTTTTTATTTCAAGGTTTTCATCGAGATAAATCTGATAAAAAGATAATTCGAAACAGACACGTAAGTTGCAATATATATTCCGCAATATAAACATTAAATTGGAGGTGAAATCGGGGTTGGGAGTTCTTCGAATTGAACATACGTGTTGTGATCCCAAATTGGCAACTTACTGTGACTTTGTAGTCCTTATTTTTCATGCTTGCTTGGACTTCACCTTTGATGACTCCCCTGGAATAAATAAAGCTTTGGACATGGTCGGATTTGAAGTGGTTTTCTCCGCGATCAAGCGATTTCCGCTCTCCAGAAAAGAAAGAAACGAGTGAGCATATCGATAAAGACGCCATGTTTGAAGTATGAGTTTAAACTGTTTAGACCAGAAAAAAATGCTGTCATGGCAACGTGACGTCACACTTTAGGACTCTATGATAATAATAACTTCTATTTATATAGCGCTCATATCCTGAGCTTATGGCGCTTTACAACACTGTGCGGGGGACTTTACCAGACTGCTAAGCAGTTTACAATCGATTAAAGGTAAATTTAACAATGCCCCTTCCCCCTAATTCCCAGTAAACAGGCCAGACCACATCACAGTAATCTCGCGAGTGGGTTCTTTGACGTCCCCTGCCTAACCAAATTAACTAATTAATAGATGCAGGGGACAGGACCTACGGTTTATTCGTCCTTATCCGAGAAGACTAGAATGTCTATCCATTTCTTGATGTTATAGAAAGGTAGCACATTCTCCTCAGTTATTTTAAGACCTTGAGTGTTAGTCCGGCCGGGGGTTGAACCCTCGACCTCCCGCACAACAGTCCAGCGCTCAACCGATTGAGCTCACCGGGAGGCGGTTAGCTCAATGTTTGATGGTAAAGATGCGATAATCTGTTCAACTTGCTTACAATTAACAGAATGGAATGAAATTTGTTCAGACAATGGGTAGTGCGTACGGACGAAGGTTGTTTTTGTAAGATCGTAATTACATACAGAGGCAAGCGCTTTGATTTTTTCAACAGTGTTTCGGTGGACTAGAGTAAAAAAATTCATTAAAGGCGTTTGCAACGGATTCCTCGTCCTGACTATACACCAAACAACTTAATGTTTTAGAAACTCTCATGAGCAAACGTTTTCTAGTTGTTATTGACATCTTTGCTATTTTTAGATACGATTGTACATCGAACCCGCAGAAGCCGAGTTAACAAGATTATTTCTGTCAACTCCACGCCTTGTAGTGGGTAAAATGCCCAATCCTTAGTGATATGTTCTATCCTACTTATTTGAGATCCTTAGTACACAAAGTCCTTACGACAAAAAAAAAAAAACGTTCAAGGGTTTCAAGGCATCACAGCGACGGTGTATCTGAATTTTGTTTACGATTGAAGCAACTGACCCAATTCTTCTGATTGATCGCTTTTTTCTTGAAAACCCAATCCTGACAGATGGTTTTTGGTGTAGTTTAATATAGGTCAGCAATTTCTCTAACCTCTGAAACCAATTTTTATAGTCATCGACCAGTTAACATTGAACACCATGCCTCAGTCTCTTGTTCAGCTCACTTTTAGCGTTCAGGTATTCCCAAAGGGGGAGAACCAAAACGCTGTGACACCGACCCCTTACAAGGTATCATTTGCATTGAGCTAAAGTGCCACCCATTACTCGCGTAAATGTGGTTTTTACACGCCCAGCTGCGGTTGTTCAGCTAATAATCTGTAACTCTGGTAACGAACAAGGTTATGTACTTACCAACAAAGCGAAATTACCTCAGTTAAATTGGAAAAAAGCTGTTCTCTTAGGCTGCTGGGGAAAAATTGAAACATTTTTGGAAAAATGGAATTTTGAGAGCGAAATGATGCTCATTACTTGCGTTGGTTTCGAGATAAGTCCATTCATGGAGAGAAGTATAAGTAGTTGCCCTACTCGGCAAGAAAGGTAAATTTGCACCTTCCTGCCTTCCCTTCGTTTTAGAGCGTCCAGTATCTGGAAAGGAAAAAAGACGCGTTGTTTGGTCTGTAATCCAAGATTACTCAGTGTAAAATCGATCACCATTAGCTTAGGCGTCTGGTTAATGGTTGGCTAACAATGTGTTTGCTTCGGACCATGATCATGATTGGCTCCGTGTTTCAAAAAATACTCTTTGCTCGAGCAGTTGGCTTTATCTGATTTCGTCGATAGGGAACTGATGAGGCTAATGAGCCTGTGCACGGTAACAATGGAGGGCAGGAAGGCAAAGCATATTTTTTTAAAGAAGCTCTCGGAAAACAGTTCATTTAAAAGACAGTGGTATGACATATTTAAACATGAATTTATTATGTCAATTTAGCTGCCAGAGAAAGGGTTTGACACATTTCTGTACGAACCAATCGGCACTGCTGGAATTGACTGGTGCATTGACGATATCAACTAAGAAATTTCCCTTTCGGCCGCCATTTTGAATTCTTCTTGTTTTCATGAAGACCGCTGACACAACAATAGATGCAAGCGGGCGGTAAAATGAACTTTGGCAGCGCCCACTGGCCCGCCGTGTAGGTCTCGTGAAAACCCTTTAACTTTGATCGATCAGTCTTGGGATACATGAAATGTAGGCTCTACTAAACTGGATCGTCCAATAACAATAGACGAAAAAAGTTTAAAAACTCGCATGCATGAGATTGATTTTGTCGGATGAGGATGGGTGAAACACATACCTAACAATACTGCCATCTCCTGCTTTGTATTTGACAATGTAGTTAATTTTTTTTCACTGCAAATACCGGTAGAAAACGTGGCGACTGTCGCACAATTCATCCGATATTGAGTAACAACGTCGGCGATATTTGCTTCACTTGAACTTGGGATAAAATTTGTCTTTAGCCCAGACATATAATACACCTGTCATGAAATCAATAGCACTTTTTGATTTATTTACAATCACCGCGAATTTTAAACTCTTCTGGTGCGACAACTGTTAAACCGTAGCTTTTTGAAACCGTATACCAGTTTGTAAGTTTTCGTCAGACTTAAAAGGATCCTCAGATAATACTTATCAGTAATGTTCCAAAAAGTTATCACAGACTTTATCCTAGATAACTTAATCTGACATCTTTCTTGATAGTAAATACATTTCGCTCTGACTAGAAAGCTTTCAAGTGATGTGACCTTCCGACGAGCGACAATCTGTTCCTGTATGCCTCCGAAAATTTTTCAACGAGGTTCGCGTTGTCTCAAATAAGATACCAAAGTTTCTCAAGGACTTTTCGAGTTTCGATGTGGCTGAGTAGTGAAAAAAGGCATAGCCTACATAGATGTAAGGTTTTTCATGTTTTTGAACGGATCGCCTCGATGAGAACTTTGGTTCGGGTAGGAATTTGCTACTTAGATGGTTTGGCAGATAGTCGGGCGCAAACAACCGTTGCAGGCTCTAGCATTTTCAATGGCTAGGATTAAAACTCGCAGGTAGAGTGTGATAAAATAAAACAATAGCACATACAATAACTTGCGAGACCTTTGTTTCGTAATTCCTCCCTCACAAGTTAAATGAGCTACAGCAGTATTCCCTGTGGAAGAAAGGGCGCAAGATCTCGTCCAATAAAAATCAACCAGTGTATGCTTTGCCGCGAATATTATTACAAATCTCTAATTTATTTGCCACTCCAAGTAAATGTCGCGAGAACAATAGGCATTCTGCCCAATGAAATTTTCACACTAATCGTCTGTTGAGCCATAAACACGATCTAAAGGTTTATATGAAAAAATGTTAGCACATCTATGTTAATCATCAGTCCATCAGGAACTTAACTGCATAGTTACTCATTCGAAACAACTAAACCACACAAGATATACGCAAAGAGCTGTTTCATGCTTAAAGCACTTTTAAATGGCTTCGTTATCCGTGTCAAGGGCTTGTTCGTTGGTATAACAATTTTCGTCTTCTCTGTGATTGCCAAAATGACCTTGGAATCTATGAAGCTCGACGTCGTCGTCTTCGTTGTAGGCAACCGTTGTTCCTTTCTGCACTTGTTTTGAATTGCAGTTTCTGAAGCGCAGACAGAATATTCATATGATTATTTACACGTTCTCTTCTAGCCCTGGCTAGGCCTATACGAAATTCCGAGGCCTTACTTCGTCGGTATCGGGTGTGTCACATTTTCGACAACTAACTTACATACAACAGGTTCAAAGAAATAGACATACGAAAGGTAAATCGGAGAAGGGGCGATGTGATTATAGTAAGACAGAAAATAATTTGGCACAAGGACATAGATGACAGCAATGAAGCTAATTTCCTTCTCTGGTAGTAATTGTGATATAACAATAAGAGAGTTTACAATCTTTATACACTTTTTTCTTGCGCGTGATTGGTCAAAACGCACCATGTGGCCGAATATGTCCCAGCTAACACTGGGTCAAAGAATCTCGTTTCACATTGGTGTGAAAGAAGCTACAAAAGTGGCAAAAAGTGAACGAAACTCACCTGCGACATCCCAGAACACAAAGTATGATGATCAATATAACCCCAGCTGTTGCTCCTCCAATAATGAAATACAATTTTGGTATTTCTTCACGATTAACTTTTGGAGTCTCTGTGGAACTGCTCTCAGTAGAAGAGTCGAGGAATGCAATTGTTAGGCTAACTACTGTCACGTTTAGGGCTTTTTCCAACTGTTCACGCGATGTTTCGATGACTGTCAACAAAATGTTTTTATCCAGGGCAGAAGGAGAATCAGTAGCCACTCCAGGTGGGAACTGAACGTAGATCGCAACTCGAATCTGAAAAAGATCCGTGGTGCTCTCTGGATAACCTGGAAGAAGGTGAACTTGATCTGGTGTGAAAAGGACGTAGTCTAGTGCCCTCCTGAAATCAAACCAAAGAATTATTCATTTACTTGAAATAGTTAGAGCACCCATTGAGCTTAGCAGCACAAATTCAACTTATTTTGTTGACCATAAAATATGTTTATATCATCGTTCAATAAAACTGAAGTCTGTTGTCCTGAGTCCTGGTGCATATCCTTTCATATGATTACAAGTTTTTATTCACATGCAAATTAAACTTATTTCTACACGAATGGTTTAGCACAAGGCCTCGTTTTTATAGAGAGGCCAAAGGTAATTCGGAAATGGCCTATTTAGTTATGAATAGGCTTGGCAATGATGCATTAACCTTTTTCGAAGTCTTCTGGTTATGCAGTCTCTGCTTTCCCCACAGAAAGTGGTCACAGAATCTGCAACTGCTCCCTTGAAGACTTGCTCTACGGGCAGGGTCCACTAAATAATTTTGAAACAACAAGGTTTCATTGTGATTTATAACATACTAGTTTTCAAGAAAAACACAAGAATTTAAACTCTGTGTTTTATAATCATAATTGATAATTCGATAAGATGCCTCCTTTGGGAAAAGAGAAGTTTTTCCGCCTTTTTCAAAATAGTAGAGGTTTCTTTATTTGTAAAGTGTTTCATTATTGATTTTGCTGAAGGCTATTCAACATATTTAGACTTTCAAATGAAATCTCTACTCATTCACTCAGAAAGGCCTGGCAGCAACTTTTCTTCTTTTGCCAGAAGAAGTTAATTTTTTTCCATCCAAACCACTGGCAATAATGCTGATCATCGCAGTTTATAATCTGGCTTTCCATTAATTTTTCAAACCTCTTCCCCTTTATCCGCGAGCAATGAAATGTACGAGAACAAATCTAAGAAATGTCCTTATCGTCTTTCTATGATGTAAAGAATTTTAAACGGACGCTAGAAGGTACGAAATGTCTCATCTCACTGAAAACTTTTCGCCATTAACATCCTCTATCTGTTTCTGAATTTAATAATGTAGATTCTATCACATTCGAGTGAAAGGCCATACCTGAGGTAAGTTCAGTCCCTTAAATGCGATAATAATCGCTTGACGTTTTTCAATTAAGGACGGGATTCGCGGAGTCGGTGCGGGCGGTGGAGGAGGTGGTTTCTGATTCTTATCAAGACCTTGAGTAAAAATTAAAATTAGTAAGAAACATCATCACCAGAGAGGTCGAGTCTGCATTCGAAGGCTTAATATGTACTCATATTGTCCTTAGGCTCATATTGTCCTTACTCATTTTATCCTTAGGCTCATTACGGGAAATGTACGAAGATAAGTTTTAAATTTTCTCAACGAATGATAATACTATATGACCGAGTGCTACCAAAGAGGTCCTTTCCACCTTGGTTGAAGTTCTCTTGCGATGTTACTTATGCAGCATTCACACTATAGCTTAAACATGTTTTAAAGTTGCTTTTTTAAACACAGTTTAACGTTGTGCTCCTCATAAAAGCTTCTTTAAACCGATTTTTGTCGACTTCAAATTAAGCACATTGAAAATACAAGTTAGTGACCACTTGAAACTTAGGGAAAAATTCGCTTTTTCAGTCCTCTTTTTCTGATTTTCACTCCCTTAAGCCCAGTTTATCTAAAATAGTGTGTTGGTGTGGATGCGATATAAGCCACAACTCATTATTACAATGTCCGTCGCTGTTAAAACTTTATTTTATTTGAAGTCCTTTCCTTTGGGAAATGAGTCGTTTGTAAGGAAAAAATGCTTTAAAAATAATTACAATGTTCTTGGTGCTCATTGAACGCGAGTTTTTAATTATTAAGTATGTTTTAACAGGGTGATGTGTACACATGCGGTCCCACCTTTGCAAGTATTGTCAATCCAATACAGTCCCTCTTCACAGACGCATTTGTAAGAACCTTGAGTATTTTTGCAACGCTGTGACGAATCCTGACATTTAAAGGTCCATTCCAAGCACTCGTTTATATCTAAGATGATAGACTAATGTCAGTCATGGTTGTAAACAGAATAAGAAAGATGATAAATTTGGAGCTCAGTAAAAGAATAGATAAAGATGTTGTTCGTCTTGACACGAGCGTGGGACGAAGAACAGCTATTCTTTTTACTAACATGACGTTATCGACATGGCCGATCCTAGCATTATGCAGGACGCGTGTCGTATATGAACTTCGTAATGGGCCTTGCTCACCATAGAGTTCCTGTGGCTTAGTGGTAGAGCCACAGAGACTCTATAGTCAAATCAGGTATTCTTTGCTTCTTCTTTTCTATCTTTTTGGTTATGGGTTGGAGAAGTGATATCTTTCTGGTTATCCGTCGCTCACTCTCTGGCACATCGATAATCGACAACTCCGATGAACGAACTAATATGTCTCAATATCAATATCCTTAAGTAAATTCTAATAACCAAAGTATCTTGGTCAATCTGTCCGACATTAGCAGATGATGTTCTTGTTTAGTTACACTTAGTAAGCTGTATAGAGTGAGAAAGTGATTTACTTGCAAGAATTATTTCAGAATAGACCACTTTCATAAATGGCTGCCAGATTAATATTCTTTTGTTTAAATTTAAATTAGCCCTTCTGGCCTCGTTCTCCAGTACAAAATTCAAAAGAATACATTATCTCAAGCGAGGCCAGAAGAGCTAATTTAAATTTAAACAAAAGAATATTAATCCGGCAGCCATTTATGAAAGTGGTCTATGTGTGAGCCTAGAAAATTTTGTGCAACGCTAGAAAATTTCAGGATTTAGAGGTAAGTTGATTTACTTCAGAGAATTCCTCTCGCTGGAGATGATAAATTTAAAAGTTAAAATGGAAAATAAGTAGCTAAGTATTTTTTGCCTGAAATAACGTTAGAAAGAGAGACGGACAGAGAGGTTAACAGTAACATTTTTCTCTGTGGTGATGCCCCAATTCTGCCTTTACACTACCTATGCAAGTAACATTATCTCCGTCCAGTCTAAAGCCGTCCATACAGGAGCATGTATAGCTTCCTTCCGTGTTGCTGCAGTCATGGCTACATCTATCCTCATTCGTTGCACATTCATCAATATCTAATGGAAAAATGGAGAAAATGTACGCTGTAGTAGAATTACTTGCAACCTTTCAGTCTAAAACGCAGAATTGAGAGTAAACGATGCCAGTCAAAAACCATACATAAAGGAGAGAAAAAAAAATTTAAAAACATTTTCAAGACACAGACAAGGCACTCAAGGCACTCCCTCCCTTTTGAATGCTTTTGCCGCTATCTCTTCTAATTGATATTTTAAATCACTGCTCGGAGATCATTTGGTGTCAGATATACTTCTCATTCCCCCTAAAAACCTCGCAACCACAGCCTTCCTTCTTCTTTAGTTACATACAAAATGAACATTTAAAAGCTAAAATCTTTGTTCAAGATTGTGTGATCATGTCTGGCATGTATGCTGGTTAAACTAACCTAACTATAAATCTTATTTTACGTAGAGCCATTCCATTCCTCATTAATTTATTGGCCCTTAACAAAACAAATCGTACCATCTGAAAGTACCTTGATACTCTATTTACCAGGTTCTAGCTACCCATTTCAAAATTCATGGCTTACAACATGATTGTAAATTTAAGTTGAGATAGTAACGTTTTTTAACGAGGAACACTATCCGCTGCTATTTTGAACGTGACTGACTGCATGTACACGCACCACTGCCATCTCTCTTTCTTCAGACTAAGTGTAGTGAACTCCAATGGAGGTCGTTAAATCTCTATTAGTGTACTTAATGACTTTCTGTAGTTTTTCTGCATCTTTAAAACACCTACACTTACCTTTGCACGCATTCCCATCGCCTCCTAGAAGATAACCTCGTCTACAAGCACATTGTTGAATTTTGTTTGAACCATAATAACATATGTGCTGACAACTATGTTTACCTTTCTGACATGGAGAATCAGCTGAAATGAAATGGTTTAAATAGTTATGTGTTTTTTTTTTAAATAAATTATATTGTATATTACTTCCATAAAAAAAAACATGTGCAGAATCAAACGATTCGTATCCAACAATACATTAGAAACAATACTTAAGTAGTTTCTGACATCACTTACCATGGTCACGTAACTTAACAATCATAAAACTAACAGAAATTGATGAAACATTTCCAAACAGAAACTTACAGTACAATACTTACACTGTCTAACAGTATTTACTAAGTACAAGCTAGAATTATCTTAACAGCTTACAAAAGTAGAAGTGCTGATCAAGGTAACCAAGCTAACAAAGTATGTTTTTTCACGCAGTTGTAAACTACAATCAGTAATCATATAACATCAGTATTTGCATGTATAACTCATCCGGTAATTCGACACCAACTGTGAGTAAAGCTGTTTAAAATTCACTTACGTAAACAGTTTTTGGGATTTGAAGGGTCCACTTTGAAGAAATTATCACAGCTACAGCGGTATCCACCGTTAGTATTTTCACACTTGTGCATACAGTCGCTGACAGGAATGCATTCATTGACGTCTGATAAAAAAAATGCAAATAAGGAGTTACACCTAAACGAATAGGTTTTGCGCGAGGAAATGGTCCACTAAAATAGCCACCACGCATTAGAGCTTACTTAGAGATGAAATAAAAGAAAACGAAGGGGTTTGGTGCTTTACCATCACATTTCTTCTGGTCAATGTTGAGCAAATATCCTTTTCTACAGTCGCATGTGAACGAGCCAGGTGTGTTGATACAGACTTGACTGCATCCGCCGTTTGACCCTTGTGAACATTCGTCAAAGTCTGAAAAAAAGAAATCACTATAAGATAATATTGTATCAGTTGTGGGCTGCAAGAGAATATATTCCTTCAACATCAGAACTTTCTTCCCCAAATGGATACTTTCGCGTGATGCAATACATGCCCTATTTCACACTTTACACACTTTATTTTTGTAAGTTGGTGCTTTTTTGTCGCTCCTAAGATGCTCTGAAAGTCTTACCCTTAGTTTTATTTGCTGAGAGGCTTTAGTGGTTTCCCATGAAATTTCGACCATTTCCTATTCAACTAAGCTATTTACAAATTGGACTCGATTCTGGCGAAAAAGGTCGTACTGGAATCAGCTCGATGGAGCTGTCTTGTATTGTAGCAATACCGGACAAACACAGAGTTAAGGTCAGTTGAGTAGTAGATACGATTTCCTCCTTAAAATTTATGCTCTCTCCTATAGGTATTTTTTAAAAGGTTGTATAGATATCTTTTCAACGCGCAAACTTCTTAACCAATCAGGTACTTTGATTGATGTGTCCTGCATTTCAGCAGAATTGACGTCTACTGTGAAATTGGACCATGGATATGCTTGGCTCTTCGCAAATACATTTGATTTGAGCTACGATAGCAATCCATTAGAGATGAAACAGTCATACCTCGACATTTGGATCCATCTCCCGTGAATCCATTGGGACAAGGCCCACATTTGTAGCCAGATATATTTGCTGGAGGGGGTAGGTCGATGCATGTTACACCGGGGTAGCATGGGTTGAGATTTGCTTCACATGCATCAAGATCACTTTCGCAGAACTTTCCTGTATACCCATTTAAACAACGACACTGAAGTACGTTCATCTTGTTGCTTCCATAAGTTGAATTTTTGTTGCTGGCTGACTGAAGGCAAACGCCATCGTTATGACAAGCACAGAGATTAATGATAGGCCTCAAGAATGCTGTTGCTCCCCTATCATCTGTCACCACGAATTCTAATGCAATCTGAAAACAGGGAGGCCTAAGTGGGTAATACGTCCTTCTCTTGGCATAAGAGGGACAGAGACGCAGCCAGTCACTATACCATGAGCTATACTGGCCATGATTTGTAACAATACAACACGATCAACAAGGGTAATACATGTAGCTGGATACCTTAATGTGGTAAATAATTTTAGCATAGCGAGTATGTTAGTATTGTAAATAATGTTAGTATTTCAGAAATAAAACATAAAAAGAAAACAAACAGAGAAACCAGTGATAGTACTAAGTGGAAACTGATTCGGTTTATACTTAATGATGACAATAGGACCAAATGAAGTCCAATTCGGTCTGTAACCATATGAGTGATTGAAAAAATCAGACGACCGCGAAGTGGGAGTCCCATTCGTTAATCACGAGTATAATTATAAGCCGAATTGGACGACGTGAATTACCGTTTCCAATTAATCATAGCTATAACAATTTCCGATAAAAAGGAAACATGTGAGCAAAATATCTCGCGTAGAGATAATGTCTATGGTAAAAAAATTCCTGCATTTTGGAAATTCCCCAGTTTTTTAGGACAGTTGGTTGCTGCTATGGCTATTGTGTTCAATTCTGCGATTGGTGGATTTTACCTGAGTGGACTTAGTATGATTGGCGGTTTTAGCTGTCCGATTGGAGCCGTCCGAATACAGCCAACCGTCTCATCTAACTGTCACATTTGAGGAATTGTAGAGGTTATGATTAAGAGGCATCAATCGCAGTTATGATTAATTACTAAATCATACGAATGAAAAGGTACTTAAAAAAATAATTTTGCATCTAAATGTATTTTCAAAGGAAACAATGCGGATTCAATGACAGAATACCTGTTCGTTAGTTCCGTTCCACTTGACCGACATAGAGTTGGAAGTGTTCTGTAGAATAGCTGCATGGGGTAGAACGCCGAAAATAGAGAATACCAAGGTGTCGTTGTTTGGGTCTTCTGCAAACACAGTCACACTTGTACTCTGATTCACAGTGACATTAACCTGGGAAAGTTGTGTGACGAACCGGGGTGGATAATTTTCTGTCAAAAAGAAGAGAGGTATTGGTTCTCTTTCGAGATTGTTACATTGAGACTAAAACTTTGTCACACTCAACTCTTGATTCAATATCAAAACATTTCTTGCTTTTGGTGCGTTTGACAGCTATCAGTTCGTCAGATAGCTCATTTTGGCCTTTCATACAAGGTCCTGCACTTAAATTCTTGAATAAGGAAAAAGGAAACTTGAACTCGGGCGACCTTTCGCGCACTCTAACCGAGGTAACCTACTTAGAGAAGATGACTCTTTTTCCAATGTAGACGACAGTGCTTTTGTGCTTGCACCCATTGTAACATCCTTTGTAGAGGCGGAATCAAATAGGCAGTTGAGATTTCCTTGGCAAGCTTCTTCTGCTTGTTTGCGTAATGTGTCATTTGGGAAGGAAATGTCTTCCAGAAACATAGGGACAAAAGATATATTTTCGAAAGTTTTCAGGCTTTCCCCTGGTTTGTATGTAAACAGGGTGGATTTGTTGTCTACCTGCCCTATTAAAGAGAAACAAGAGGAAAAGCGTCAATGTGACCAGTTGTTACCTTTCCAATCTAAGGAGTAGAAAAGGGGCCAGACAAAATCATCCTTCAACTCCTCGACGGCTGTCGATTGCGGCATAACGAACATTACTGACTTCAGCACCAGAAATCAAAGACTGCACTTGTTTGATCGCATTTCCGTTTCGCAAATGGGTGCTCACTTGGGAACTTGAAATGCACACTTTTTTAAAGCCGGTTGGCTACGGTAGTGATAGGCAGATTAGAAGTATTTTGGTTTCTCTGAAAAGCACTATAAACTTGTCTTGTATGGTATTGCACTGCCTTCGCTTCACCGACTAAGTTTAAAGGGCACTGTCGTTTGGTGGCAGAGCGCAGATTTTCGTCAAAGTTGGGATCACGTAGGTACATAAAGGGGTGTGCTTAAAGTGGTGTAGGTGAACCTTAAGAAAACCGTTTTCAAAACAAAAAAGCAATGCTAACGTCAAATACATGTACAGCAGGCACTTTGCAAATTACAATAATTGCATTAGCAAAGCAAATAAAACTTACAACTGAGTAGGAAAACTTTACTCACAAAGGAGACCAAAATTGTAATGAATGTTCTTGCCGTTTGCGCTAGAGGGCAGAATGGTTCCATTGGGCGTCAAAAAATCGTCCTCAGGATCATCATTCCATGTTCCCAGAAGGCCTTTTGTTTGATTTTTGAAGCTGTTTGGTGCAGCAAGTACAAGTGAAAGTGCTCCCGAAACAGCTTTCGCTGTGACTGATATTCCCGATGGAAAAACCATCAAGAAGGAGTTGTTGTCAGGTTTGGCAACAGCAACAGAGCCATTGAGTATAACAGATTCGTTTGAAAGGCTAATGTAATCAAAGGACTCTCCATCAATCAGCACACCTATTCCTGTAGGTATAACAAGTCAATAAGATCTATGAAAAGAACGCTTACCAACAGAACAATTTATTTTCCATTATTTCGGAGCATTAAAGGAAATGAAAAGTTGCGATAAAATAGACGAAACCTTCAGATGGTAGAAGATTTTGCAACCATACAAACCATTGCATTTTGTTTAGTTACTGACCTGCATCGTTCAATTCAACCTGAACAATACTAGAATTGCCTTCCTTCGCCGCTGCAGCAGAAAACACTGTCGCTGTTCCATCGCCTTTAGCCAGTTTTGTCCGAGCTTGTAACTGAAAAAATCCATCACGAGCATCGGCCATTATATATTCACCAAGGCCATTAAAGGTGTAGTTTTTACCATCAAGAGTGACAAAATGAGGGTCACAACAAATCCAACCTAAAAGCAGAGAAATAATCTGAAATATATTCTTGACATCAGTTATATCTTGATATAAAAAACTTGAAGGCGAGTAGTGCCTATCCAGACAGCAAGATTCTATCAAGAGGAGGGACGGTTTTAATGAAAATTGATCTGTGTGGCACCCAATTTATCCATTAAGAGGAATTTAAAACATTTATAGATTATCCCCAAACACTCGCTAATTCGTTAGAAGAAAGTATTCTGATTTCTCGAAGACACATTTTATGGTTTTAACTGATTTCTGTTTACGAAACCATACACTATTAACACACTCATATATATATCGCCAAAGCATTTTCCCCCGGTAGAAGAAGGCTAAGAAGCTATACCAATGGAGGCGTTTACTTTTACTTTGTTATCATAGATTCTAGACAAAACCCTTACTCCATTCTGGAGCTACATAATCTCTACAATCGTCAGAAGGCCGTCTTCTGTAATATAAGTCACATAAGTCTGAGTTGACACAGCACTTTTGATAGCCTTGTACGTCGCTTGCGTCGTGTTTAGCCCTTAACTCCTCCGTCAACTTGTGGTATCTATGTGCAGAACCTCCTCCAGGATTTCCCACAAGCAGAGCACCCCGGCTTTGCCAGTTAGTAGAATAACAACATTCCTGGCCCCAACCATCTGGTGAAGGGAACTGTGAGTAAGCACACATTCTTGTCCAGCCTCTCCAGTTGACTGTGAACCTTTCGTCCCCCCGTGCTTGTCTCAAGATACAAGGACAAGGTTCAAGGTATTCAGTGTAGAATCGAGGATCTGGTTGCGCTTTGAACCAGTCGATGCACTCCTGTCTTGCGCTCAGTCTCCCGAGGGATTCTTCTAGTCTGAAGAACCACTTCCCTACCATGTCAGCGTTGCCTCTTATTCCGTCAATTGTTTCTATGTTGACGGTACCCGATCTAGGAGGTAGAAAAACAGGAAAATTTCCCATATATCAGATTTTCTTTCAGCCATTTTGAAGATAAAGTCCTTGACAACACAACCTACCGTGGCAGGTTGTATTTCCTTTCTCCTTTGTCTCCAGCATTCCAACCAACCACAGGCAAACCACGCGAATTAGAAAAATATTGATAATACATTCTGCAACAGACATACAGTTATGTATATTAGGTTCATCTGGTGAAGAAAAGAACACTGAATACATCTCTTTGGCAATTTCATAATAAGTTAAAGGCAGTCGTAGAGCTCTTGAGCCATAATAGGTTGACTAATGGAGTGTATAACCTTAAAACGAGTAGGTATGTCCGAGAACCGAGGTTTATTAGAGCATGGGACAAGCCGGTCAGAATTTTCTTCCTGATATGGAGTCGTTTGTCTTGAATTATCACTGAATGCGTAATGAGTGAAATTTTTACCACGGTTCTAATAGGGGAGACGTCATGAAGTTTCAGTTTTCAGACCACAAACTCGACCATAGTTTAGAGAATCGACCAAACTTATATTTATAAAAGGACAAAAACCGCAAAGTTATTTTTTGAAACGCTTTGCACGCTTGGCGTGTTCAATTTACTGCAAGTCTTATTGTTATCCTCAACAGTTAATACATACTGTGGTATTCAAACAACGGGTAATTAATGCGGCAAGCGGGTCAGAGCAGAGCTAGACATCTAACTTGCAGCCAACTAAAGAAATTTAACATTTTAGAGCTCTCGTAGTGAACACTCAACAGCTGAAGTAAAAGATAGTTGATTTCGAGCTCAGGAGGACCTATGGCACCAACGTGAGGGTGAGCAGATAACGCAACCTATAGGCTAGCTTATTCTCTCATAGACACTATTATTTAAGTAACTCTGAACTGGGTAAACCTCTACGCTGAGCAAACCTCTGGGTGGGAGCAGACCATTGCAGGCTGGTGCTTGGATAATTGAACATCGTGAAGGAGTACACTCCATTTGTGATCAAAACCAACTGAAACGTATTTCCCTATGGATTCAACGTGTTAAGAGTTAACCAATAATTTGTATGGTAAGCTAAATTACACACGCTTTGTGATCGGTTCTTACTTATGACCTACTGGAGGAAAAACGAGTAGATGACGTCACAATTAACAACGTTTTGTTTCTTCATCATATAAAATAAGTAAATTTCATGCTGCCTTGATAAATATAAAAACAGTTTTGAAAAATTCTTATCTTAAACGAACTTATCAGAAGATTAATAGCCTCAAACATAATGTCAAAGCTTCTGAGCAGGATCTAGATCTTTTCTTAGAGATCTCTTCATATCAGGAAATCACACTAAGTCGCTTTCCTGTGAAACTTCTTTGTTCTTTTACGCTTTTTCGATTCTCCGTGAAACCGGACAAGGGTATTTCGTTTGAGACGTGAAGGTACCGCTCTTGTCTCAGTCTAAGCAAAGCCATGTTAAGTGTAGTGTATTGGGAACATAAAGGTATTTGTACTAATGCTAGTGATATAACTGTAGGATTTCTGAATGACGTGAAAATACTGTAAGATGATTGTACCAGCTTACTAGATACTTGATCAATGAATAAAGAAAGAAAATAGAAAGCAACTGAAGAGTGTGTGTCTCCACCAAATGAATACGTTTATACGCAACATTAAGACCCGTGGAATGTTTAGCCCATTCGTGCTATAAGCAATACTTGTACCTGGTTTGCCATATTGGCAGGGTACTGATACGGACGCAAATTTTTCCACGTTACCACCAGCACCCATGATGCCTTGAAGGCGGTCGGCAAAGGGGTCGACAACAGCTTCTCGGTGTCTGAAGATGCCCTCTTCAACATAGGAGTAGAACTTGGGTCGGAATCTGAATACACGTGATAGTAAACTTTAGAAAAGCCCTGAATCACAAAAGAATCGTCCATATCTGTCAAACACCAATAAGGTGCCAACATTGCCTTTTTCTTCAGCCACCAACGTTCCCCGAAATTGTATGGCCACCTGGGAAGCCATTGTGAATCAAATTGCACCAATCCGTTGCGACAGATCTTAAAGAGAGAATAGGGATGGGTGAGTTGATATCTGAAGATTGTTTATTGGTTACTTTATTTCTTATGTTTATTCATGTAAACGTTCAGGCATTATATAAACTCTTTCGAAGTCGCTCGTTTTATTCATTCGCCAATACCTTGTTGATGGCGTCATGAGGTCACCGAAGCGTCGGAACATTGTATCGTTAGTTTTTACTTGCTTATGTACTTTTAAATTTGTTGGCTAAACGCGGCTACTTTCTTATGGGCATTGATCATGTCCAATACAAATCATTGTGGGAGGGAACTAACTAGTTAATTGTATATTTTGCTATATTACAACTCCAATAGACTCAGAAAATAATATGGCTGTCGAAGAAAACGTGGGAAAGATCTGATAGATTAGTATAGTATTATTAGTTCACATAGACAAATGTTCTTTGAACACTTTGAATTGGTTAAAAAGTAATCAAGGAGTCGAGAAAAGAATCAGCTTGTGTTAAGGTTAGCAGGGTGACTTCGCATCTTCATGAAAATGACAACAAGGCCAGTGACACCACAATCCACAGTCATGTCACCGTTGTCAAAAAGTTGTCAGACGATTGTCAGACAACTTTCTTGAAATTAAATGCAAGAAGATATATACGTACGTAGACTTTATAGTGACGCTTGCCGAAGAATTGCATTCCATCGTCTGGGATATCGATCTTGAAACATTGTCGCGAGTACTCAAGCGTGTTTGGAATTTCCGAATCACCAGCCGAAGGACCGTAGGGGTACATGAGTTGCATTGGCACTATTATGAAGAAATTTAATGAAAAGGTCTGAATTGAAAGAACACCATTTTTTAAATCAAAATCGTCGAAAACTATGGTGTGATTAAAGATCCACTAGTGCAAACGCACCCAGATGGGCTACTCACTTTCCTCGCTATTTATCAAGGGATAAGTAACAGGTAGGGTAGCCAATCAGATTGCATTGTTTGCGATAGGACGCTATTAGATTTATGGGATCACATTTTGTTCCTGGGCAACCGAGCTCGATATGCATTTGCCGTACTCGATTACCATTCCTGCTCGATGAGCAAACCACGTTTTATAATCGAGCTCGATAACTACAAGTCGAGCTCGATTAGTAATCGTACTCGATTAGTAATCGTACTCGATTAGTAATCGTACTCGATTAGTAATCGTACTCGACTTGTAGTTATCGAGCTCGATTATGAAACGTGGTTTGCTAATCGAGCAGGAATGGTAATCGAGTACGACAAATGCATATCGGGCTCGGTTGCCCAGGAACAAAATGTGATCCGATTTATGGTTATCGGTGATAGATGTTGAGTCAAGTGAGAAGTCTAGCAGAGTACGTTTGTAGACAAAATAGATTAATGACAATAAAAGAAGCCTGTCGTTTTGATAAATTTAAGGTTAAACAGTTAAACTATTTGCCCCGATTTTCATCAGCTACGCGATAGAAATACCAAGATTGACGTAAGTGTTCAGTTATTTCCTAATGATCCAGTAAATGCATGTTCCAATTTTTTTAGCCGAAGAACAGTCGTGCAAATTGTATTAAACGGCATCATTTTTCCGATAGCATGCACATTCCAATTTTTCTTCCCTTCCATGCAAACCTATGAAAATAATAAAAAAAAATAGAACAAATGCAAATGCTCGAAAACGCCTACGTTTGATAGGAGGATTAAAACGGATGGAAAGAACTCATCAGTTTTCAAAAATAGGCGTGGACAGGCTTCGAACGCAAACTTTAAACTTTTTTTAATGCTCTTTGTTCATTTTTTATTATCACATGTACATAAAGACCTTTTGAAGGCAAATTGTCACCGTTTCTCTTCATGGAAAAAGAAACATTTATCAACATTAATGCAATAAATAATACTGTCTTTGCTGTGGACGCAACCAATTCTAATTACGTCTTTACCTTCCGCTGTTGGACTCGGAGTATTTATTGGCTCCTCCGTAGTTTGTACTGAATGAAGAAAAAGAAATGAGGTATAACAATAAGAATGAGAAAGATGAATTAAAGAATTCCACTTTTAATTAGTGTTATATTTCACGTCGTAAGAGTTTCCCTAATAGCGTTTGACATTGCTCCCTTATTCCAAGAAGTTAGTTTAGTAGGAAAAAAAATCAATCTTACATTTCCATTGCAGTTTCACCTATATACATCTTTATTATACTGCTGGCAGTGCCCATCGGCAATATGAAGCGAATCCTATGTTCTGATGGGCTACCCAAGGGAGCATGATAAGCCCAACTTGCCCGCTCAGGATTACCTGCTTTTATCCCGCGCAAGAGAAGTAAATTGATTAGAGCAGACTTTCAAAGTTTGTAATTTTTGGACAAAACAAAGAAAACTCTCGTTGGTAAAGTAGACTCATTAAGAAATTTAATCTTTTTTTTAATTCGTTAAAAGTGGCTACGTAAATTTGACGTAACAACTCATGTTTTTGCAGATAGCATTTGGGCCGATTGGAGTCAGATCTAGATCAAGGTCTCCCGAACTGTTAACACTCTTTGGAAACTTACCTACGCCGGTTTCTAGGGTGACTGTTTGACTAATGTAGGTGACGTTTGACTTGGCCAAGAGTAGCACTCTGACAGTATACTCTTTTCTTGGCTGAATGTTTTCGAGCGATACTTGAGTACCATTTGTCCGTATGACATTCCAATACGTCGATGGCTGAGACAGCTTGTACAGTACAATGTAACCCTTCAATTCACCAACATTTTGCGTCTTTTTCCACTCTAATATGGCTGAGGCTGAAATCGTGTTCTCCTGTTTTTTCGTTATGTCTGGAGCGTGAATGAAAAATCATCAACTCATGCCGAGCCCACTGACCAATGTATTTCAAAACTATGGTTACCATCAAGAAAACTGAGGAATGCAGTTTGGAATCATGCAGTTGGATACCAGTTTGGAGAACGAAAAGAGGAGAGAGTTCTTTAATATGTACGGCAGCACGTTTGCAACTGATAGGGATGGAGGCTATGAATTACCCGCCCCTTTCAATCACTTAGGCGTGTGACAGCACGGAGCACGCTATGCTGCTGAAGAATCTGAGACACTTTCGAAATACGATCTGTTTCAGTTTTCAGAACACATGGCAATAACCTAACATATGTGAACTTTAAATATGAACAAATAATGCCAACTAAACTCTTAAAATGATGTTTGCGTTAAAATTGTTGTCGCGAACGGTGACAAACCTTATAGTAAATTCGCAGACAAATTGAGCAAATCACAGTTATCCGTGCAGATTAAACTACAATCCGTGGAAAAACATCCGTGAATCCGAGTTAAAACTGTTGAGGCGAACGGTGACAAACTATGTTAAATCAAATCTTTTAATCGAAAAACCTTCACGAAAGACTTGAGACACTCATCCTAAACGTTACAATCCACAACGCAACCTTAAGACCAAAGTATCGAGAAAAACTGTACGAAATAGAGAGAGATATATAGAGAGGTTTTAACTGGGTAGCCTCGTGACGCCGTTGGAAGACGCTCTCACTACGTATGCGCGGAAATGTCCAGTATGGGAACCCCGGCGACGGCCGCGTGTCGACCAGCCGAAACAAAAGGGTGCTCCTGATTTGCAAAATAATATGTTTATCTTGTAATGATTTTGAAAGCAATGGCACCTCTTATCCTGAAGCTTACCTAGATCTGTTTTTTGTTTCACCAAAAGATATCGAGCGTAGAAACCCTTTTCCTCTATTCCATTGTCTGAATACAGACGCACTGTAAAAGAACTTTCAGTGAAGGTGACAGCAAAGGGAGACCGCTTTCCACAAAATTTCCAATCTATACTCTGAGATTTGTCTCTCACTTGAACATAATCCGAGCTGCAAGTATTAACAACAAGAACAGAGAACATTACAACTGACCTTACGTAGTCCCAATATTGTTTCCAATATATTAATCAAACTAACGGGCAGTAATCCTGTGTTTTAAATTGTAGATCGATGTGCCCCATCTAATTAAAAACGCTGAAATTAGTTTTTTCTTTTATCTAAATGTCTCCTCAACACGAAAATCTCTGTGTGTTCTATACAATGACAGTCTTACAATTAAATGCCCGTGGAATACGCCTGTTTTTTGTCACTGAGTATACAACTTGTAAAAAAGTGCATTCAAATTATTTTACAATGTACATTTTACAGCAAGAATTCTTTATAGTTTCCACAGGAAGTTATAGAATTTTTAGTATCATGTTTACTTGCCAAATAATAGAAAATTCACTTCCCTTTGTGACACTTTGTAACAGCTAACCAAAACTGACATACTTTTTCCTTAAGCTTTACTCAAACTTGCCGAATGCCGCATGATGCACCGGAACGCAAAGCTTTATCATGCTACCATAATGGTAACTCGTTGCGACCGCTACTTTGAGCCATTCTATCCCTTCGCTCTTACTGCTCTTTACTCGCAAAAAGCTTCTGCTGCAGTAAGTTATTTTCTGCAATGCAACCTTTCAAATTGATGATTACCTGCATGGAGAACCAAACCCTTCTGTATGAAAGTAGTCGAAGAAAAGTATGATCTTCGTTTCCTTCAATTCCATCCCTTGACCTATCACCCAAGTGCAGTTGGCGTTGCTTGGATAATTACTGGGATAGTTAGGACTGGTGAAGTCTCTAACATTACTGAGTACAAAAAACAGGCAACCTAGACCACAACGGAAAATAACGTTTAACAAAAGCGATTGGCATTCCTTCAATGATGGACTCGATGAAGTGGGTGGGGAGGTTTAAAAAAGGCGTTATTGAAATATTTGAGGGGAGGAGAAAGCCTTTTTGAAGCAAACAGTGTGAGCAAATGGTTTACCATTTTTAACCTCCTCACAAGTGCTTGAGCGCATCAAAGTATTCATATCCAAATTTCTTTTTCACGTACCCGTTTTGGGAAAATGTGGTCGACTTTGAACCCCAACACCAGCTCTTGTAAACCCAGAGAGGTGGATTCTGTACAGTGTGAAAACTTTCAGGCCTTTCAGTAACACAGACGAAACTAGAGGCCCGACGGACATACTGTGATAGCTCTCTTGTGTCCAAGCCTCCTTATACTGAACCAGGTAACCTTGCAGTTCTCCTCGGATGTCGTGTTTATCTATGGGAGACCATGTAACTCGTATAGTTGTAGAATTGGTCCCGTATGCCGAGATGTTGCTTGGTGGCTTTGAAGGAACTGCAAATTTAATTAACGATCATCATAAAAAGCTTTATTAAAATGATACGAGCTCCTAGAATTTTACCAACAATCGGCCTAAGCTCAACTTATCTAACAATGGTCAAGTTATAGTGCGAACATCGACTTATTTCGTGCTAACTGACGTTCTTTGACTGTTAACATTTTGTTATTCCTCACCATCTTCCTTTGTCCTGAGTATCACAGCACTGCTGCTCCTCATTGAAACTGATCCATTACTTTGACTTTTGGATAGGGCAATCACTTGAACCCTGTATTTTGTGTAAGGCAAAAGCCTCTGCACCAAAGCTCTGAAGGACGAAGAATTCACTGCGGCGAAACGCAAGGTATCTTTGCTTTCAGTTGCTGTGCAAGCTGCAATGAAGCCGTAAATACCCTTCATCGAAAGGGCAAGGGTGTCATTTGGCCATGTCACCAACACTGTTGTAGAGGAGGTACTCTCAGCAGTTACATTCCAGCCTTGTATACGAGGGGCTACATATGTATCGTAAAACAAAATTGCCACCATAAAGCTCGAACTTACTTAGACGTAACAAACAATAGCTATCACAGAGCATACACGAAGATCTTGTGTTAATGTTTTGGTTAAAATTTGTACTGACCTTCGGTTAATGACCCATTAAGTGTGTGATATTGCGCCTTGAAACCAGTAGCTAAAGATGTCCGGCGTCGCGAATAATAACGCACGCGAAGGGAAGGACCCTCCCAAACAGCTGTTAATCCATCCCTTCTTCCACAAATCCTCTCGACGTCCTGTCCTTTATTGATCTCCACGTAAAAACGCCTGTAAAAAAGATCTGTTACATTTCATACCCATACATGCACACACTTTAAAATGCTATATGAATTTACAATTCATTGTACCTATAACATTTATTTCAAGCGACTTACAAGTATTGAAGCCTGTCAGGAAAACTATATATACCGTGTTGGTAATATATTGAGTTTTAAGGGAAAATGTTTTGGTCCAGTTTTGGGCTTTGCTTGAAAAAAAAAATGTTGGAGCTTTTTCTTTTTAAGACCATAACGAGCTGAAAGGTGGCTCTTGGAATAAAGATATACCTAATACAAGTTTGTAAACATCCTTGTAATTAATTATAAATCAGCTCAAACAAGAGTAAAAGTTACCTGCTTCCCTTGCCGTTGTAACTCCTTACCTGCAGTTCAATGTAAACGGTAAATCGAAGTGTTGAAATGTGAGCAAGAGTACTGAGTTATTATCAGGAGCGGTGTAGTCCCATGTACATTCACCCCAATCGATGTAATGAGGAAACCCGGGACTTGAAATTTCTCCAATGTGACCAGAAATGAGCATTTCACACCCTATGATATAAATAAATGAATCAAAAGAAAGAGGTTATGGTTAAATGCCAATAACCTATATCTGCAATATTCAAGTATAATTCAGATTCCATATCTAAAAAAATTACGGATAACACTTTCGTAAATAAATTTTAAAGGATAAGTTAAACGTAAAGAGAACGAGAAAGATAACGAAAAGGTCTTCATCAAACATTTTCAATTCAGCTACGCACTTGAATCAAAGAAATTTGCCCAAAAAAACACAATAACAATAATGATAATAATAGTAATGATAATAATAATGATAATAATATAGTCATGAAAATTTTATAAAATAAAATAATCTAAGCCAGAAATCAAATCCATGTAAAAAACTTTGCTTAACAATCGTATGACACGTATGATGATGATGATGATGATGATGATGATGATAATAATAATAATAATAAGAGTAATAATAAGTGTATACCATACGTCTAAATATCGCTTTTGCGCATGTGATTGGCTTGTTTGGAAATGTTTGGCGTTATTCACCTCCACGCAGCCTGAGAGACAATCGCGCGTGAATTGTCTAATTTCTGACCATTTTTCGACAAAATAAACAATCTTTTTGTTATCTGCATGTGTTGTATATACTCAGTAGTCTACTTCCGAGTTCTCGCGGTTCAGTGATCTCGTGCCGAAACTACGATGCGAGCGCGAGGCTAAGTACAAAGTTGCTCTCATCAGTATAAAGAATAAAGTAGTGAAAATAAGCGAAAATTTCTTGAAATTCAAGGTGAGAGAGTGAAAATAAGAGAGCGGCATTCAGTGAAGTGATGGCGGCAAAGGAAAGAAAAAAGCAGAACTGTTATGCGAGAGAATTGCAGCAATGAAGTAGATCAGGCTAACCTCTTCTGTCAAAGACCGCAAAAAGCTGTTGGAGGAGAAGTAGCAAACAAGTGAGGGAAAATTTTGAATACCTAAAATTTTGAATGCTTGGACGAACAAGTTCTGCAACTTTCCATTTTTCTCGTTAAACATTTGCATGCAGCCTGGTCAAGATTTCCCAATTAGAGATTTGTAAATGAAAGATTTCCTTGACAAAAATTACAGATTTTGAGTCCACTTCACGAATTACAGACTTCCATTTCACTTCAATTATAGTAATAATAATAATAATAATAATAATAATAATAATAATAATGATAATGTAATAACTTTTGTTTCAAAACTTAAAACATTACAATAACTTCGCGTGGGTAATGGTTTATCCTCTCGTACATATCCAAATTAGTTGACAAGGAATACATCTGTTGAATTCGGTTCTCTAGGATCAGACTCGTATCAGACCCAAACTAACTTTAATAACAAGAACGACCTATATGTCAAAATTGAGAAAGCAACTACTAGTTCGTATTGAAAGAATTTCAAAAAACGTGCATCGAAATTATCCTTATAAAAGTAAATTACATTAAAAAACTATATGAGAAGGGAAATGATAATAATAATAATAATAATAAAAATAAAATACAATAATGATAATGATAATACGACAAATAATTAACTAAGGAGAAAATAGCACATCGGCGAGACTTCTTTTTGGTTGGGATTACCTACGAACCAATACTAGCAAAAATAAACCATTTTTTACAGTCGGAGATGGAGTTTATACGTTTACACCAATAAATTAATAGAATGAATTGCATACGTGTTCTGATCCCATAATAGTTTCTTGGACCTTCACCCATTGCTGTAAACGCAGAGACGTAAATCCGGTAATACGTTCCTGGCTCTAAATCAGTCAGGATAACCTGCCGCTGCTGTGGTCCAACTGTAACATTTTTAGTTTGTCGAGTCCAGGAGTCTTCGTAATACACTATGTATCCTCGTAGAAAGCCACCACTATCTACTTGAGGCAATGCATACCAATTGACAAAAATACTCTGATTATCCAAAGCTAAGATCCTGATGACCGAAGGTGCACGAAAGGGTGCTGCAAATAAATTTGATTCTTTGTAAGGTAGAAGTAAAAATACCTCAGACAATGTATACCAAATAATGAGAAAAAAGGTAAATAATATTAGACTTGTGAATCAAAGTTTCCAGTATTAATTTAACTGATTTAAGGGTCTATTTGTCACCTCAATGTTTCACCGATTGAAAACAGAACTAATTTGGAATCATCGGCAATTAGACAAGTGTTAAAGAGTGCTGTTTATCAACAGCTTACCGAAAGACCACGACAGAATAACTGAGACCAACATTCATACAGTGTATTGATTTTTTATGAAACATGTCTTGATGTTTTGTGTTTTTTTATTCGTTTGTTTGTTTGTAGTTATCGACCCCATCAACGTTGCAAGCATAGGAGTTTTAGTTGTATCTAAGTACGCTTGTCAGCATTTCTGTTCAGAGGTACCTATGTAGTGAGTGTAGGCAAGTCTTCCAACAGGCAATAGTAATGATTCTTAAAGCCAAGCCTTTTATGCGCGAGCTCATTACACTTACGTTAATGCAACGCTTGTTCAAGCTCCTAATCAGTAATTTTAATATAGCTCAAGTCTTGGTTCCTTTGTGGCTAACCAAATACAGGGGTTATTCCATTTCCATAACATGAAGCAACTAGGAGTGCTGGTATCTTCTAAGGTAAGGAGAGCCAAGGTGCCGTTTTAAATAAAAACGTAAATTTTAGCTCTGGTGAAGACTTCAGATGATCAGCGTCAAAATGTCATTTACACGGACGATCACACTGAACAAGGCGACAAATACAATTTTGGTTTTAAAATTGGCCATGTTCATTATAGCTTTTGTAAGGTGATAATAAACAGATAACCACTGACATAAAGAGGACCAAAACAAGGAATAATGGTTTTGTTTAGGTTCGGGCTCGGAAGAGTCACTTTCTTTTCTGACGTCTTTCAATGTTCCCGGAAGTGATTTCCTAATTCTTTTTTCGCTTGCCTTAAATTTAGAGCTTTCTGCATGGAGTAAAAGTTTACATACTAGATTTATTAGCGGAGGTAATTTCTGCAATTTTCCTCTTGATTAAGGTCTAAGAAATAAACAAGTTTATCTTTCAAAGCAGTACCTTGGCTTTCTAAGGAATCAAAAACCGCCTCCATTCAACTAGCTAAGTTTTTAAGGTATCACCGTTACTATGTAACAAGATGCCGTTCTCAACTTAATGAACACAATCGCAATTCACAATCCCTCACATTTTCTGGCGAGGGGGGTAAGGTTAATAAAGAGCTCAGTGTTACGACTAAAAAAGGATCAGCAACAAGAGATTCAAAGCAGAAGTAGCAGACCTGAAAATGTGATGGATCGTTTCGTAACCATTTGATGATACTTTACGAAATAGAACTAAGCATAGGTCAATTTCTTGATGCAATTAAATGGACCTAAAATTACTCACCTCCCTTTTCAGTTTGAATTTGGGCACTTTCACTAGTTTTCAAGGATATTTTACCACTCACACAGTCCTTGAGGATAGCAACAGCTTCGACTTGGTACTTCACGTAGGCTCTCAGTCCACTCACCACCGCGCTCAAGGAAGTAGAATTTGCTATTTCCTGCATATATATGTCACCAATACCAGTTAAAAGCATGCGCAAGAAAAGCACATAACCATATATGTAGGTGGGGTTTGAGCTGGCAGTACTCAGTGCAGGCCAACTGGCACCAATCGTTGAGGAGCTGACGTTACTTATGGTGACATTCCAACCACGTTGATAGAGAGCTTGAACATTAAATTATACAAAGTTTAGTCACCCAATAGCTTCAATTTCGCATAATCTTGGATAAAACAATTGAAATGGCCATTTTAAATTTGTGTTTCACGCTCAGAAGCTGAAATGTGTGGAAAAAAAATCGTCATCAACTGTCCAGAAATCGATTATGACGTCATTCTTATTTTTTTCCATAACTGAGTTACATTACTTTCGTAATTTCTCAGATCCCCTAAATCATTGACCAGGCTCCTTTGAATTAACACTTTCAAAGTTCCCGTATGAAATAAACATAAAAAGGGCTTAATAAAAAGGGCTGGTTATTATTGTCTTGCACTATAATTATTTCCTTTTGTCTAATATTCGAATAAACGCTGCACCCTGGGTACGGCGTTTATTCGAGGGCGGCGTTTATTGATATTTTGGCTCTCAGGTGCGGCGTTTATTTGAGGGTGGTGTTTATTCGAAGTAATACGGTACACTAAGTAGACTTCAAAAAAGCAGATGAATCGAGTACAAATATGACGGATATTTGGGCCGTTGGTCATTTTTAACTGGTCGGCTGCGCGCACTACGCTTCTCTATCTGCTTCACTTTTCCCTCCTTTGAAGAAATGCGCATAAAATAAGGAAGTTGGATAATAAACAACTTATCACACATTTTGGTGAGTTTTATCACTGATTTTAAAAGTTCACTCTTTGTTTGTATCTTAGCCCGTCTTACTGGCTCGTCAAAATACAGCACAACTCGTAAAAATACTCGGCGATACCATAACCCTGACGATCAGATAAACGCTTGCCAAAAATGATTGAAATTGCTTCATTTTTAATTAACTTACCATCGGAGCGCGAGTTGTTCACAATCAAATAATGAACTTTCAGTCGGGTATATTTTTCGTATCCGTATGTTCTGATTGTCACAAGGCTGTCCAACACCAAAACTGCAAAGGGCACCTTTCGATTTCTGACCAGCCGCTTTTCTTGTCTCGCACTTCTGATGTAGCTCGTATACCTAACACCAGCGGTGACAAATGTAAACGATTACGTTGAACCACGAAACCGGCTTATTAGCCTGCTAACAAGCTCTTTCGGTTGGCTTTTAACGGAAAAAACAGTGGTTATTTTCCCTTTAAATTCAGAATACCACTCTTGTTGCTCGTCTTATCTCATTTTACTAACGTCAGGAGATTTTTATCTCCATGTTTAAGTCGTTTGTGCCCGATAAACAGTTAATTTTCGGATCGTCGAGTATGAGTTATTGCTCAGGCGCTCCTTAGGGGACCTGAGCGAGGGAAATGTGATAGTTTAACACCGCAACAGACGCTGATTGGGGAAAAAAGGACAAAGAAAGCCACATACGTACAATACACTACGTCCCATCCCTACTTATGCGACGTTATCTTTAAACTTGCTCTTGGACAAAAGCCTTTGAATTCAGAATAATCCCTTCCGTAGCTCGTCACATAACGTGTACTGTTCTTATTTTGAACTCTTTAAAATTGGCTTAGTTAGTAAATGCTTCAGCAAGAAGTATACAAATTTTTTTTGATGAAATTTTTTAACAGAAAGTAAGAAAAATTAAGTATTTTTTTGAAATTGTTTTGTCAATGTGTTAAAATTGCGTTGCAAATGAGTAGGCATCGTATCATTCAATAGGTAGAAAAAAATCAAGTAAATGTAAAATGCACCAGTCATTTTGTCGGTATAGAAATTAAATTCAATAACGTTACAGTCAAACTAAGTGAAGCGTACCCCTCAGGATTACATTAATGATTTGAATATTGAATCCGCGAACCGTATTCGTTTTGATAAGGCGCGGATCATTGCTCAAATCAGAAGTCCATTTCTGATTGGATTATGCGAACACGTGATGATGTCTCGGAACCATTTCAACATGGCGTCAGACATGGTGGGAAAGGTGAGTTGGAGTGTTGTGTAGAACTTCTTGTAAATGGAATGTTATCGAGAGTTTTTTTTGCCTATTTACACCTTAACGAACTTGTAGAAATTCTTGGTCGAAAAAAATTGTTGACAGGCGAAGCCATCGCAAGACTTTTTATTTCGTTAATATTTGCGATCGACTGTTTTCGCAGTGTTTTGCATTTTCAGGATTCCTCGTCAAATAGAACACTCTTATTGGACTTCAGAAATGTACTTCTAATTTAAACAGTGATCCGCGCCTTTTCAAAACGGATACGGCTATCGGGTTCAATATTCAAATAATCAATCCATTATTGCATTCGTGAAACGGCTAACGGGTTCAATAATCAAATAATCAATTCATTATTGCATTCTTGAAACGACTGGCGGGGTCAATATCCAAATGATCAATTCATTAATGTAATCTTGAGGGGTACGCTTCACTCAGTTTGACTGTAATAAGTCAGAGAGCAGATACCATAACAAGGGAGTTTCGTTCAACTGTCGCTACAGAAAAGGTAGTTCGTAGATTTAAATAGTAGTATAGGTTTAAATACAAGACTTTTTTGTCACACGCCCAACATCGAAACGATGCTGAGGTCTTCACTGACCTTTTACCCATAACGGAAGCACGGGGAAGGCAAAAGTGGTATTTTAAAATATATCCTCGAAGAAAATCCTTTGCTATTCAGCTCCGAGCAACACGCGCGGGTTTTTGCACCCGAAAAAATAGTAATCGTTGCAGGAATAAATGAGTTTAAATCATCTTTTTGTGCTATCTTATCTCACTGGTTTATTGTACTAAGGACATTTTGTATAAATGAACACCACTACTGTTCTATTTTTTAACTAGTGTTAGGTTTTTTTAAAACACCACTTTCCCGTTACAATATGTGATACCGTCGTGATTTGATTACGTATTCAAGTTAAGTTAAATTCAAACTGTAACACGAGCATTTGTAAGAGGGTCTCGATGACGTTTAACCGTCATTTGTCAAAGAGGATACATTTTTACTGTCAACAGATCACTGTGACGACGACCATCGTTGTCGAAGAAAGTATAGACCACGCTAAACTGTCGATTTGTTAAATGTAACAATCAAATGAAAGATAATTCTAAAATTGCGCGAGATACCAACGTAACAATCGAATGAAGGAAAACCCTAAAAGTGCATGAGATAGTTTGTAAGGGCCGGGTCGCATTAGAGCGAATAAAAATATTTCCAACTTTTGGCAAACCAAAACAAAGTGCGCGAGATACTAACATAACAATCCCATGAAAGAGAATCCTAAAAGTGAACGAGATACTAACATAACAATCCCATAAAAGAGAATCCTAAGAGCGGGCAGAGCAGGCGTAATTTGGGCTAACGAGTGCTCAGTATTTTCTAAACAAAAACTGGCCGCCATCTTTGATTTTAATTGGCAGTGGAAGGCTGGGGAGAGAAAGTAATTCATACCAAGGGGGTGAGTGACGGTCGAAAATAAGGAGGGGGGCTGGAGTGGAGGAGTGAAAATTACGCCTGCCCGAACTCACGTAATGTTCTTTTGCAAAACTCCGTTTGCCCCCGAACGGAGTTTCTGATTGGTGCAGTTTTGCTGTAGCTGTCAATCACAAGCCAAATGCGTCATTCGAACATTTCGCTCTTGCAGGAAGGAGAAAAGGATCGCAAACTCCATGGATGACGTTGTGGGTTTTGATTCCGTTCTTTAGGAAGCACTTAAGAGCTACTGACCGTAGATATCGAGAATCCGCCGACAATAGCAAAATTTCGTAATTCGTTTTATTTTTTCTAAAGGACCCTGTTAATGAACCTTTTTCGAAATTATATCAAAAAGTTCTATCGCGCTTTTTTTCTCCGAAAAATCGAAAAGTTCGAAATACGCCCAAATGGCCGTTGTCCTCCCCGTAGAGCTATGAAAAATTATGCAACTTTAGCAACTTCGTACGCTACAACGCGATGCAATCCCGCTTTTAGAATTTGTGTACCAATGGATGGTCCTCCGAGGTAAAAGGTCAACGTAGATCTCAGCCTCGTTTCCATTTAAAATACACTTAGTATTTTGAAACCTACGCCACAATTCAACTCTTAGAACAACTTCGTATTGATCAGGTCCGTATATGCTCCCTGATAATAAATTAAAGTCTTCAAGTCTTACCAGTAATAATCCTGTCGGTGTTCTTCAAAAAGAAGAAGGATGCTGGAATTCACAACTGGAGACCGAATCGTCCAAGAACAATATCTATAATGAAACAACTTGGATCCACCGTTGAAACTGAATTCACCTGATGGTCTATCGAAGTTCTGTCCACACTCTGAAATATATAACTGATCGAGTTAGGCAATTTTCTCGTTAGCGAGGGAGTTTTTAGAATTAGTTAAATGTTAAAAAATGGAAAAATACGAAAGTTTCGAGCGTTTTTCAGTTACCATTAGACATGTAAAATACTTTTGAAAGGTAAAACTGAAAAATGATTTCTCCTGACGGAAAGAAGTGCGAAAAAAGATGTTCCTTGCTGACAATTGAGTTGAATTTGACGCTTTTTGGTCTAGAATCTCATTAACAAGGCGCCAGTAGTCGTTGACATCTGTTGCAGGTAATCTGCCCAAATTTTGTGAGCCAGTTTTTCCGAATCAGTCTCTGAAGAGCTGATGCTTACATATATGCATATGCAGCTGTCTACAAAAAGGTGATCGGAAAAAGGCCAACTGCACCCGGCACTCCCGAAAAGTACTATGGGTATCCGGTAATCATCGAATTTTAATAGGCCGAGCAAATAAACATGGACGAAAGGATAAATGAACATGGAATAAATACCGATATGCGCATGAATACAAGAGGAACAAAATAACATAATATTGCGTTGTAAACCTTTTTTCCTTCAGGTCACTTCGAACTCACTCTTGTTTAGTTCACAACCTTTTTGTCGTTCATTATAGGTCAGTTCGTTCTTCTCTTCCTTTTTTATCAAGTTTAAAATTAAAATTCAGTCTTGCGAACAAAATAAATTAACTAGACTCGCTATGCCCACGCCTCTTCCTTACCGTCATGTTTTCTCAGAAATGCCTGAATCCTAAGGTCAAGGGTACGTGACCCGAAAACTACCCAAAATACCTTTCGGGTTGTCGCGTGCTCTTTTGTTTTTCAGACAACCTTTCTGCAAATAGCTGTACACTTACATACATACCTACATGCATACATACTACATACAAAACTTTATTAGTACATAGCGCGCGCGCAAAGGCTTACTTATTTCCAATAGTGCTACCATGGTAAAAATCCTTATGTACCACACGGCCACAACACGACGTGTGCGGTTTGACTTCGGTTGAAGGTTCCCGTTGAGTTTAACCGCGAGGTTTCAAAACTTTCAAGATTGTTTTTTCGTCCTATCTCGATTGTGTAAGACCTTTCGGAGCTCAAAATGCAGAAAAGAGAGTTTGCTAAATAATACTGGTTCCGAAACACAATGACCATGTTGTGCCTTCAAGCGACGAAATTAGATTTGGAGTTGTCGATACTTAATTCCCAAACGCGACGCGAATTATAGTTTAAAATAAAACTGAGTGTTCTGACTTTAACTGAGGCTTTGCGACGTTCGAAACTCTTCATTAGAACGGTTAATATTATTTTGAAGTACCGATATGTCCCAAAAGCGTTTAATAGAGGATTTTGCTTTGAAATCGTACATTTTTCAGAATTTTCAACACAAAGCTATGCATTTTTCTGGTCTTTATTCTAGTAAACAACAATTCAAGTAAAGTAAACCTTCCTCACCAATCTCGTAAATGCAAGAAATTTGCAAGTTTTTTTGCTTGATTTTTCAAATGGCCTATATCATTTTAAAGAGTTGTTCTTTCCTTAAGTTATTGTTCAGTAGACGATTTTAATTAAACCGTACAATTTCAGAGTTTTCAAAAATTTCCAACACAAACCTATACAATTTTCTGGCCGTGAATTCTTGTAAAGAACGATTCAAGCATACTGAATTACAGCGTAGTCTTGTACATGCAAGGAATTCGTTCGCTTTTTGCTTTTGAGCAGGAAATTTACAGTTCTTTGAATAGGGTGCTAAAAATTGTAGATAATTTGCGAGTGAATTCGTTTCAGCGAAACCCGTTTCGAAGAGAAGTTTATCTCTCACCGGTTACTATCGTGACTGTACATACATTGGTGTGCGAGTAGAAAATCAATGGTGATTTTAAATTACAAATTAGGCAGGGACTAAACGTAAAAGTGCTTCTTACGATCTCTTGTTTTGGGTCCTACTAACTTAATCAGGTAAAAATTCGAAAAGAACGGTAAAAGCTGGGTAAGCCAACGAATTTTATGTAGATCATATCACCCAGAATTAAAGCCAGCTCTAAATGTCATGTTGAGCCGTAAAGACCAGATATTTGATGGATTAGTAGATTCAAGTATAATATGCCAAAGTTTTAAAGGTTACATCCGTCGACTCTGTAGATAGAGCGTTTCTTTGTAATGGTTATAATCATCATTGGTGTTTTATCTGAAAATTTCGATATAACTTTGAAGCGAATTTAAAGTTTCAATGCTAAAACAGGTTTTCATTGGCATTTTGTACGAAAACCAAGTAAACATACTTTTACACTTTCTCTAAGGTCTCGTTTGACTGATCTTTCTTTAAGATGTATGTGAACCCCTCGAGGTCTTGTTTGTCGAAAAACCCCACATCATACATATTTCTTAAAAGTGCACCTTATCCATTTTCTTCGCCTTTGTATTTAAGTTATTAAAAACTCAAGTTGCCTTAAGACCTGAGCTGTTTTGAGTATTTTAGTTCTCACGTACACAGAAACCTGTTATTTTGTGTTCCATTCAGTTTTATTAAGGCCGCTTTATTGCGGCTGAAGGTCTCACTTTGGGTAAATGGAAGTTTACCAGTCTCACTTTTAAGTATATATGACCGGTTTTAGCGGTTGGTGACAAATGTCCTCATCACAGGATTTAGCGAAATATAGTACACTCCAGCCTATCATTTCCCAGCAACCCTGAAAATTAATACTCGCGAAATTCGGCTCCCTTATTTTCCAGAAATTGATTACTGGCGAAATTAAGTAAGAAAAAGGCATGAATTTTTGGTTTTTTGATATATTGAAAATTATTTTGTAACATTACAGTTAGAATTGAGGCAGTACCTGTTTCAGCATATGTAGAACGCTCTGCACCTTCCCCAACGGATGTACGACCGGCAACTTTGATCTCATATCCTGTAGCCATCTTCAGACCGGTTATAGTTACTCGTCGATGATTAACACTTATGTTCGTAAAGCTCTCGTTTGAATTATAAACTCTGTAGTACACTGTATAGCCAAGAAGAATTCCATTTGCCTCTTCACTAGATATTGAACCCCACTCAATCCGAAGACTGCTGAAAGTTCGGTACCATGCATACAGCCATGGAACAGCACTGGGAACTAGGAAGAGAGAAATAGAATGTAATGTGATTAACAGCATTGAAGATCCGCTGCGATGGAAAAAGCAAAAAGAACCGTCGTAAACATTCTTACTTGGAAGGTTTTTTTTCTTTTGCACCTTAGCTATCTTTTTGAAAGTGGAATTCATTTTGTGACGCATCTCCTACTAACGCACCTTCAACGCACCATGTGCGGAATTTGATAACTCAAACAAAAATATTCAAGATTCGGGAGTCCGTAGGTGCGCAAAACTTTTGTTACAATGCATTGAGAAAGAATACACCCTAAGCCTAAAATAAAATACCAAGGTTTTTGACGACGTGCTTAGTGCCAGCCATGAGCTAGCACTCTGTTTGTCGGATAATTAGGTATAGTAGAGATCGTAATTAAAGGTTTCGACCATTAAGGCTTTTGAAGTGATTGACAACAAGGCCCGCCATTGGGACGATAGGTAGTTGTAGAATGCGAAATACGAACTAAAAAGGTAAGATTTTTGAAACGATCTCCTTGACTACGAACCAGCGTCAAAGGAGGCAGCCGGAGTAAGACCCCAGTGACGGAGGGACTAAGAAAAGTAGGGTAATCAGCTGTAAAGAAGCTTTAGAACTCTTGCAGGGGGGAGTGATCAGTTAGTGTAGCTGCCTTTTATCTAGGCTAGGCCAAACCAGAAGATAACTGTGATAATATACCACTTGTCTGGGCCATAGGATATTTCATATTCACCAGAGTTATCTAGGGCAGTTTCTTAAAACGAAAATTTGTTTTGCGAGACATCAACACAACGAATAGCCAAATTCCCAACTATGGTACCAGAACAGCCAGTAATTATCGAACACATTTGTGCTGTACAAATCCTAAGAAATTGACAATTCTCTACCAAGGTCCTAAAATTTGGAACTCTCTCCCAAGCTATTTTAGTCCCTCGTTCCTCAAATTTTCTTAGCTTTAAGACGAAAATGCAAGAGCTTTTACTTAAATAATCTCTGAATTGGCCAAGCCGCACATTTGCAGCACTTTTTCTTTATTTGATTACTATTGTAAGTGAGGTGGCTCTCCCATAAGCCCGGTGGCTTCCTGGGTCTCCTCGCCTTTTAACTGTAAACGCTGCAAATGAACCTTTGTATTGTTAAGATAAGGTAAATAAAGATTATGATGATGATGACTTCGATGGATTTGAGCTTCGGAGATATTATTTAAACAAAAGAAAAAAAAGCCAAACAAAAACCCAGTCCTCTAATTGCGTCTTAACCACTTGTGAGTTGCATTAGATTGATGTACATTTTTAATTATAGACTAGTGAGCAGCACTTCTCCGAACAGTAGTTGTAAAACTTGTTGTATTTTCCTACGCGTTTCGTCTAACTGTCGTAGACTTCTTCAGGGAGTTTTACAAGTATGACTAAACGCCTGTATTTATAAGCCAAAGTTACAGTGGCCGATGACTGTAAAGGCTTGGCCGGACTTACGAAGAAGTCTACGACAGTTAGACGAAACGCGTAGGAAAATACAACAAGTTTTACAACTACTGTTCGCAGAAGTGCTGCTCACGAGTCTATAATTAAAAAAATTGTTCAAGTCAATACTAGAAGAAGCCACATGGCGAACAAAACTGGTGATAGTCGCTCCGGACCAAAGCGTCGCCGATCTTCAGCATTGTTTGATCCAGAGCTACCACGTCCAGTAAGCAGTTNGCGTTTCGTCTAACTGTCGTAGACTTCTTCAGGGAGTTTTACAAGTATGACTAAACGCCTGTATTTATAAGCCAAAGTTACAGGGGCCGATGACCGTAAAGGCTCGGCCGGACTTACGAACAGGAACAGGCGAGGCCGTGAAAAATTTGTGAAAAATTTAACACGTGTAAGGCAAGGTGAGAAAAATATATTTTGGGGGCCACGGTTTTAACTAAAAGTTTTACAACTACTGTTCGCAGAAGTGCTGCTCACTAGTCTATGATTAAAAAATTGTTGAAGTCAATACTAGAAGAAGCCACATGGCGAACAAAACTGGTGATAGTCGCTCCGGACCAAAGCGTCGCCGATCTTCAGCCTTGTTTGATCCAGAGCTACCACGTCCAGTAAGCAGTTCCTCCAGACTCGACCCCACTATCGAAACCATCCTCCGAAGGACAGTTCGAATGCGAGCAGATGCCGAGAAGGCCTACTCCTCTCTCCAAGCTAGAATCAAATTTCTAGAGACTCACGCGGGCCAAAGCACTACTCCATCTGGTCTTAGGATCAAGAGAATCCAAGCCAAAGGTCATAATGTCGACGAGCTTCAAGGCAAATTTGACGATATTGTTCGCGAGCTAGAACTGAAGCTCTTGGAAGCGGCTAAAGACCATCTCTGCGCTGAAGTGAAAGTCCATCAGGAGGCCGTTCGTTCCACTACTGCCAATATCGAAGGGACGATTGCGCGATGGAAGGTTGAGCTTCGGAAAACCGATATTTCGGAAGATCAAGCTCGCAGCCTCTGTGTCGCCGCTTCAGCCTTCGCAGAAGAGCTTTCTAAAGACAGTGCAGTCTCTAGAGCTTCTAAAGCTCTTCAAACAGAGATAGACCGCAAGGAAAAATATAAGAGTCTTGTTAACATGGACGTTAGCAAGGGTTGTGTGCCTTCGGAAACTTCGATCCGAGAGATCGTTCGAAACGGACTCCGTCTTTCCTCTGGCACAACAAACCGAGTCGATACAAGTCGACAGCGCAAAGTATCTATCATCCACTCCGGTCCTCACTGAAAGCAAAATACTCAAACAGGTGTCAAGCGTAATGGTAAATCAGTACCAAGCGTGACAGCAACCCGCGGAAAACCGACCCGAACACCAAAAGGCCAACCAACGCCAAAGGTCAAGATCAAGTTCTAACAATTGTCGAGCGTCGTCAAAAAACGCCCGAGGCAAAGGTTCCAGCCACGTAAAGTAGACAGACGTTCTACACTCCAGAAATGATAATTTAAGATGGCCAATCGACCTCCATTTGACCTGTTTCCACGAAACTCGGAAATCCACAACTTTACTTCTGTTGAGCTGACTAAGCGGCAGTCTAAGGTTCTGGGCGTAGGCCTGAAGTTCAGACCTTCCCTGCGACCTCCGACTGTTCCTCAGTTCGACCAGCAAATTCAAGACTTTTGCCGAAGAGTTCGCCTCCAAGATAAGTTTTCCAAACAACCTCAAAGCAGTGATTTCAATCCCAGATTGTACGTTCCAACTGGCTGGATTCCA